ACAAATAATTTAAATAAATTGTTTTCATACTATCATTAAAAAATTTAATAATTATCTATTTTGTAATTATAATTACTAAATAATTAATAAATTTTATTAAATATAAAAAAGTATACAAAAAATTATAAAATTTAACAAGTATATAATATTTAATTATAAAATTCAAATTTTAATTATAATCACTAAAAAATAAATTTTATTACACATAATAAAGTATACAAAGAAATTCTAAATGGATAATTAATATTTATTTTGACCACTTATATCTAAACTTTTAGCTAGATAAATTTAAAAGAAATATCTCAAGGCAATTAATGTCGGTTTAGGAGCATTCCAAGCTTGAATTTTTTTATTTTATTGAGATTTACCTACAAAAAAAAAACAAACAAAATTAGTAAGTAGTATATATAGTCATTTATAATTTTATTAATTTGCAAATAAATTAGAACATATTTAAGCATTTAATGTTCATAATAATGTTGAATACAATAAAATCAAAATATACACCTCAATAAAATGAAAATGTTAATAAAAATTAACGTAATTATATATATATATGTACGAGAATTTCATGATAAAAACAAAGAAATATATGATATAACTTATGGATAAACAATTAGTGACATATGGAGGATTTTTGCAAAACTGATGGAAAAACAAGGCTGAGAAATAAAGGAGAGGCATCATGCGGACATACAGAAGGAAAATTGCAGAAGAAGAAAAGAAGTGGAGGAGAAATGCTCGGTCTGTGGTGGGTGGAGGTGGTGGGAGTATATATAGACTCTTCAGCAACATATTTCATGTTGCTAAAATATTTGCCCTCCAATCAGCAACATGTTCCATGTTGGTAAAAGGTTTGCCTTCCATTTAGCCTCATAGCCCCATGTTGCTAAAATGTGTTCAAATTTTAAAATCCAAGCTTATCACCGACGTGTACCATATTGGTAAAACTTTCATTTGCCATCTATCGCCAATTTCTTGATTCATATATACTTCAAAACTCATTTTTTAAAATTCAATTTCTTAATAAATTTTTATTCCTTTATTACACATTATTTATTATTTAATATATTACTTAATATAATT